CTAGCAGTGCCCACAGTTTGTGCAGTACCCTGGCAGCAGGCAGGGCATGGGGCAGTTTTACCCATTGGTTAGCTTTACCACAATCCAGATGGCTTTGTCAATAACCCAGTGTCTTCTTTGGAGACCTGAGGGTTGCCAGTAGGACCTGGCGTTTCTGTCTATCATAGGAAGTTTTTTTTTTTTTTCATTAAACATTTTAAATGCCATGTTCAGCAGATCTCTGAAAAGTTTTGAGGGCCATCTACTAGGTCTACCTGATTTTAAATTAACTTTATTTGTTTTTACTTATTTGCTTTAGGTTTAACCTTGTAAGCACATACAGGAGGCTAAATAAAGCTTGTCCCTGTAAATGATTTATATTTGTGAAAAATATGATCATTTGTAAGGTGACTATTAATTTGCATGTCTTATTTATCTTTAACAGTTTACAAGTTAGTCATTTTTTGTAAGATTAGAATATTACAGTTTTATTCTTGCTAAGCTTAACCTTTAAAATTGCTATTCTTGAACTGAAGGTGTTTTAGTATAAATCATAAATACAGTCCGTAGGGAGACCGGCAGCTTTACTTTCCTGGTTCTTTCATAGTGCACCATTATAGAATATGACAGTTTCTTGTATGACTCAGTTTATCAAAATAGCTAACGCTTAACCAAGTTATTAAAGACAAAGAGGCTAGACATAAGTTAGCCTGCATAGCCCCGAGGTAAGGAGGGACATTTTACAGGCTCTTTGTCAGCCTGCTTAAGTCATTGTCTTGCTGCACCAAAAGATAGTAATATCCCAGTTTCTGATGCTTACTGTTTGGTATTTATAGTTGTGGCCCTGACTTTAGTCAGCCAGCCAGCAATTATACTGGGTGTCTGGGATTCCAGTGTATCGCTGAGCCTTTCTCAAGATGAGCCTTTAAACAGAAAAACCATGTTTCACGGTTGACATTTTAGTGAAAAAGAACAGTTAGCCAGAAGCAGAACTCTAGGAGTTAAAAAGCAAGGTTAGTGTATGTATTTGGAGACTTTCCCAGAACTATGGACTTTGATGGATTAGGTTTTTGTTTTTGTTTTGGCTGGTGGTACTGTCTATGTGCTTGCTGAGTTTTATAGCCTGAGTGGTAAGACTACCTATGTATAAATATCTAATTATTAACCCTATGTTATAATTTTTTTTTTTTGGTTTTTCGAGACAGGGTTTCTCTGTGTAGCTTTGCGCCTTTAACCGCCCAAAACTTCTGCTAAGATATAACCTTATCTCAAGGTGTATACCACTATTATATAACTTCCTTTACCTCAGGATTTTAAAGCTTGTTGGATATGGTTACAAATCTATAAAATTTGTAATAAAAGTTGACTTAGTTTTAAGTCAAGTTGACTTAGTTTTAAGTCAAGTTGACTTAGTTTTAAGTCAACTTTTATTACAAATTTTATATATTTGTAACCATATCCAACAAGCTTTAAAATCCTGAGGTAAAGGAAGTTATATAATAGTGGTATACACCTTGAGATAAGGCTATATCTTAGCAGAAGTTTTGGGCGGTTAAATGAAACCAATAGTCTAATTTTTTTTCCACTCTGCCATGATCCTTTTCTCTACAAAGTCTGGTAACTTGCTTGACATAGGACAGAAATTTTCCAACTCCAGAGCCAGCTTTTCAATACAGAACAGCATAAAACAATATTTCAACATTATCGCCACTCAAAAGACATCTGAGTCCCTGTGAAACTGAATCCAGTGACTAGAAAGACATTTGGAGCCCTGGCTATCCAAGTAGCATAGCAGTCATGCACAAAGCAGCCCAGGGTGGCAGTCTTGGGAGATGGGGTCTGATTGTCCCAACCCAGTAGCATGGGAGTGATGGAAGATAGAGCTTGGTCCAGCGCCTAAGTCTGCCTGTAAATGGAGAAGATTAGTGGGGCACAGAAGCACATACAAGAGGTAGAGACCACAAACATGAAACCAATACACAGACCACAGGCTAGAGGACTGTCCAGCTTACTATTCTTACCGCTCATGTCATTCTTCTGTTTCAGTCTCCCTGAGTCAGAACACACAGAGACAGGCAAAACACAAGACAAGACACAGAGTAAAAATAACAATAGGAAATAATAACAACAGCAGTTGGGGTCATTCAGAGATTCACCAGTTAGATCAAAGAAGTTTTTGTTGTTATTATTGCTGTTGTTGCTGTTTTAACAAAATAGGAGGCTTTTTCTCAACTGCCTCCCAGGCACCAGGAACCCACCAGAGACTTCCTAAGTGTCAGATTTTCCTTGGTTTAGTTAGGCTGGGCCTATCTGATTTCTGTCTTGGCTCCCAGTGATGTCTGGCAGCCTGTGATGGGCCTATCCAATCTCTTGCCACCTACTATTGAGCATTGTCCTTGGAGTTCCTAGGTTCTGTTGTGCATCCTAGGCATTGAAACCCTGCCAGTGGGTGCTCAGGTGCCAGGCCTCTAGGATTTCTATCTCAGCTCTCAGTCTCACCAGGGTGTCCCCAGGGTCCTAAGGTGTGTCAGAAAAAGAAGTGGTGTCTCTGGCTGAACTCTCAAGTAACAAAATAGGCCATTTGACTTCTTAATTGTTGCTTTGGGTAGAGGAATATTGGATCTAGTTAGACACCCACCCTCATGCCCCTAGATCAGGATTCTACAGAACCAGATGTCACAGAGTATCTATGACTTACCAGAGGAGGCCTCTGTAAACAGATGCTTGTTGCTTTCTTTTGATGCGGTCTCTGGAAATGAAAGCATGCCCCAGGGCCTTGGAATGTCTCCAAAGTGTGCACCCCCTGGGAAGCAGCTCTTCAGTCCTGGAGGGCTAGAGGAGGAGGTCCAGCTTCTGAATACATACTGGAGTCTTGATCTCAGTGGGGCCTCCAAATGTTAATCCCACAGATTCAAGGAGAAATACCATCAACCCAAATCATCATGGCCAAATTAATTAAAGCAAGCAATTAATTGAAGCATTATTTTTAAAAAATTATGTACACAGGCTGTCCCTCCATAAAGGCAGGGTTCAAGAGATCAGCATTAGACATGAGGAAGATTTTTTATATATATATATTAAGAGTAGTGAATTTCCAAAGAGGGGGAGTTGGCAGGCAAGTAGGCAGGGATACAGAAGCAGAACAAAGCATAACAAGCTGGTTATACTACAAGGTGGGCACAACAAGGCAGTCATAACAACATGGTCATAACAAGGTGGTCATAATAACCTTTTGAAACAAAGACAGAGATGCCATTTCCTGGAACAGGCAGTACAGAATCATTTCTAGTTAAGGTTATAGGTGGGTCATGGCCCAACCCTTAAGAAACAGAGATTTGATCATAAACAGGAATGGATCTACTTTGAGTTTATGGTAAGATGGCTTCCAAGTTCAAGATAGAGGCAGACTAGTTTATCAGTTTCTGGAAGATACTGTTTTCTTGGAGACATTCATCATTTTTGACTCTTAGATTTTTTTTTGCCTCTTCTGCATAGATCCCTTGAGGAGAGGGATTTGATGAAGACATCTCCTTTAGAGCCGAGACCTCTGAGGTCTCTCAGTCTTTGAACATTTTCTAGTTATAGGTTTCTATGTTAATTACTATCTACTAAAAGAAGTCATTTCTCTGATGAGGGCCAAGTAATGACACTACACTCTAGGTCAGTCCTCACACTCAGGAGTCATTAGCTAACAAAAAAAAAAATTGACTCTATGTTTTGTTTTTATGGGTTGTTTTTTGTAGGGAGTATATGAATCACTGAGTGACAGAACTCCTGAGTGAATGTGTATTTTGACATGGGCATAGCCTGTCAAGGACTCCATGGGAAATTGGCAAAGCTGCTACCCATATGGTGCAGACTCAAGAGGATAGGCAAAACTTTCCTTGGGAGTCTGAGTATGAGTGTTTATGGACAATTGATCAGTGATCAGGACTAGCAACTACAGTGTCCTTGTCACAAATGTTTACAGCCTGAAATTGCTGCCTACAGACACCTCCTATCTAGGTAACTCCTTCCCCTGTGCTGTACCTAATAAACACACCAAGGTTTCAGGTTGTATCAGTAGCATAGGAGCCCCACTTGGTCCAAGCTTCACTCTATGAGTATCTGTCTTTTCTTCATTTCCTCATAAACCCTAGGCAGATCAGGGATCCAATCCACAAAACAGGGTTTTGTTACTGTTTGGTTTTAGTTTTGTTTTAAGAGAAAGGAATAATATGAAGTTGGGTGGGTAGTGGGGAGCAGAGGCTCTGGGAGGAGAAAGAATATGATCAAAACATATTGTATGAAAAAATAAAAATAATAGGAAATTATAATAAAAAATAAACTGACTTCTAATGATTTATCACACCTGTAGATCAGTGTACATCTCAACTCTCATTAGATATTTATAGTAGATGGTGATTAACACAGAGACCCACAACTGGCCAAGATGCAGAGAATAAGAAACAATGGAGTGCTCAGCCTTAAATAGATCATCTATAAACATATCCCATCCTCCTAAGACTCGGTGGTCATCGAAGACAAGGGGGCAGAAAAGGCTGTAAGAATCAGAGGCAGTGGATGGATATAAAGAAACAAGACCTAAGACTTGCAGTCATATGACAGTATGCCCAAGTCATATGCACACGTTCCTCAAGCCAAACCAAATCTCAGCATGGAAACAGGAGGTAGACATGAAATCCCACCCCAAGCTGAGGAGCTATTGATAGCTGCTGTGAGAGGTAGAGTCAATTTTTAAAAATCATCCACCCTGGTAAGTTGACCACATTCCAATGTTAGGTCACTCATCCATAAATACATGGTCAGCACAGATTGGACTTGATGGGTGAAAAAAAAAAAAAGAAGAGACAAAGCTGAGTGGGATGGATGTGGGGGGGGGAGTTGAGGGAGGGAGTGAAGATGATCAAAACACATTATATGAAATTCTCAAAGAATTAATAAAAAATTAAAAATAATTTTTAAAAGAATTGCTTCATTGGCATACTTACCACTTATGTCGGTACTGTCCTTTGTTTCAGAGAGTAAAATTCACAACACTCTGAGGAGGCTTTGAAGTAAACCGTGAAGCAAGTAGCATGTCAACATCCTGGTTGCTTTGTGCAATTTTCTTTGTCACCATTAACAAGGAGAATGAAGTGCTGGAAACCTGCCACAGCAAGGCTCAGTGAGTGTTTGAGTGCTTTGCCTTGAGTGCATTTGAATGAAGTATTGGGTGTCCCAGAGGCAGAGGGGAAGTCAAGTGTAGAAAGCAAATTTGCCTGAGGCAGGGCTCATCATTACTTAGGCATGCGTCTGAGTGCTGAGTTAGAGGGCAGAGGCTTCCTTCCCTCTCTGACATTTATCCCTGTAATCCTTTGTTTCATACCACTCCACTGACCCCTAATGGAGATCCATCCTTTTAAATCTTCAAGGTCAGCATTGAGAGAGCCTAGGGGTTCTAGACAGACGATCAATTCAAAACAGTGCTATACTGTGGCAAAGAGCAGACCAGGAGAGGATCAGAAGCAGGCAAAGTGTTATCCTGGCATCCACATGACCTGCTTCAACTTGAAATTTTCTGGACTTTAGGGTCAAGGTTGTAATTGCAGTTTGACATCTGTATTAGTCCCTGATACATACACAGATTACAATGAATCCTTTCAAGGTGTCTGTGTTGAATTCTGATGCTCTAGTCCCTCAAACTGTAGCTATTAGATCCTAGTTAGCAACAGGAACTCTATTTGTCCCAGTCTGCTATTCTTCCCTGAGCTGTTACTCACCATTTCCTGAGGCTAGGCTCCAGCCCTCCAAGTCCCTCACACAGGTAGGTGTAAACCACAAGCATTCCACCCTCTTCAGATTGGTTGTCCCAGAGCTGGGTCCAAAACACCAAGCCACAGAACTCCCTGATAGGCTAAAAGTGTGTCATCACGGAAAGTCCTCAACTGCTTCTCCCTGTATTACATCATGATTGGATGGGACTTGGGAGATGTCTCTGTGGTGTTCCCCTTTAAAACTGGCTACCGCCCCTGCTTCAGGGACATGGTGTGGAGCCTGAACCCTACTGCCTCCCTGATACCAGTTTTTCTAAATAAATTTTTGGCTTGGTCAAACCCTGTCTTTGTGGTGGATTGTTCCTAGATTCTCGGACCCTAACATTTGGGGGCTTGTCCGGGATCTGGGAGTCTACTGGTTCGAGTCTCTGGCCAGGCTGTTTGCTCCTGGCCCTTGTGGCAATCTCCAGAGGTAAGCACTAGAGATTTTTGGGCTGTTGCACCTTTTTCTGGGACCCAAAATAGGAGAAGCTGGATGTAGTATTGCTCCTGGGGACAGGGGGAGACAAGAGATGTCTTGACTCCCCTCTGGATGACTCAGTTGAAGAGGCAACCGAGGCTCCCTCTGGGGAAGTGGCTGAGGCATCTGGGCTCTGGGGCTCAGAGGCAGCTGAGTCATCTGACCTCCAGGACCCCCCAGCTGGGAGTATCTGGAGCATCTGTGTTCCGGGGATCAGCCAGAGAGTCAGCTGATCCCCTTGGTTATGAACAGGACCATGTTTACTGCGGCCCTTGTCTCTCTTTGTGGCGTGCTGCCAGTTTCTGCATGTCTGTCAAGTCAGATTTTTGGTTTCACTTTGTGTCCTCGCTATTGTCCTTCTCTCTTACTTTGAGATCATGGGACAGACTCCATCTTTGGGCCCTAATTCTCCCCTAGACCTTGTTTTACCACATGTCAAAGACTTCAAGAAAGCAACTGAGAAATCGGGAGATTCTGCCTTCCTCCCCGGAAAGCTCCGCACTCTGTCGGTGGCCAACTTTCAGAGTTGACTGGCCTCCCAGGGGCATTGTCAACCTCACTATTTCTCTTGCAATCCAGGCCAAAGTCTTCGGACACCCAGACCACCCTGACCAAATGCCTTATATCGTGGCCTTGTGGACCCCTTTCCCCCAAAATGCCTCTAATCCCACAGATGGGGCCAATCAGAGGGAATACCTCTCTTGCCTGCCCCTCCTTATTCGTCAGCATATAAACGACGAATGCAGAGGCTGCCCACGCTCCCCCTCCTACCTCACCTTCCAAAAGCTGCTGTGGTTGAGGACCATCAGGGGTCCTTCTCTGACTCCTGATTCCTTCTGCTCACCTCCCATATCCACTACAACCCCGCAGGAATTTGGTGGGCCTTTCCCCCATCTCCCTCCTTGAAATTACAGCTGGAGGAAGTAAGAAGAGCTTTGTCTGTCTGTTTTCAATGTGTGGATATGGGCACTGAATGTTCGTTTCTGACTGATCTTGAATGTATGAGTTTACTATGTTCTGTACATTTTGGCTGCAGCCAGCTACCTGGGCTCAGAATTCATCTCCGGGCACTCTGGTCACTGGATCTGATGTAATAGGGATTCAAATGCCTTTAATCCCAGCACTCGGGAGGCAGAGCCAGGCGGATCTCTGTGAGTTCGAGGCCAGCCTGGGCTACCAAGTGAGTTCCAGGAAAGGCGCAAAGCTACACAGAGAAACCCTGTCTCAAAAAAAAAAAAAAAAAAAAAAAAAAAAACAAAAACAAACAATCAAATGTCAATTGAATATGGATAATACTAAAAATTGTTTGATGTTGTTCTGTTTTATTGAAGAGCTGGCTCTGGAATTGGGTTTTGGCTCACCATTTTTTTAGACCCAGACTTGCTTTTAAAGTCTCTGTGTCAAAAATTGGCGGTCAGGAAGAAGAAGAGCAAAGTGTAAGTTAACTGGCTATGGTTAAAAAATCTATAATACTTGAAACAAAAAGGTTAAATCAAAGTTTTAACACAGGGTTAATAATCAAAGGGTTACATAGGCAATCTTAAAAACAAAGACCTAATCCATCAGTGTCAATAGTTCTGGGCAAATATTTAAATGTTCTAATCTTGTTTTATTCATTTTTTTTGCTTTTTTAAACCCCTTTTAATTCTGCTTTTGACTGTTTTTGTTAACTGAAATATGTCAACTCAAAACATGTTTTTTAGGCTTAAAGGCCCACCCTGAGAAAGGCTCAAGACTGCATTGGAATCCCAAACACCCAATCAGTAACTGGCCAACTAAAATTAGGGCCCCAACTGTTAAGCAACAGAAACTGGGATTGTCCTATCTTACGATGCAGTGAGATGGTGACCTTAAACAGTCTGGGGAGAGAACATGGAGAAATTTTTTAACCTACGGGCTATGACTTTTCAGGGTCAAATGACCTTTTTGCAGGAATAGCCTAAGGTTGCCTGCATGTGGGACGCTTGAATCATGATTCACAACAATGCACCACAAAAAAAGCTGATAACCATTGGCTTAAAGGTTTATGTTAACCCCGTTGTTTTTGCTAGCATTGTTAGGCTGTTGCTGTTTCGGTAAACTGAGTTGTACAGGGAACTGTTGTGTTCTAAAATGGTACACTGTGTAAGGATCAGGAAAGTTCCCAGTCTCCTTATGGACTATACTTACGAGTTGAAAGTCTTATCCTGACACTAATAGTCTGTCCACCTCATAAAGGATCAAATCCTTTGATATGTTCAGATTGGCTTCTTATATAGGTTTTCAAAGTTCAGCCCTGAGGTGTTCAGAACTACACTTAGTAGATAATGGTCCTTGTATGATTCAGAGATCTGAGAATACGGCATTTAAAATGCTTAATTTAAAAAACAAAAAAAGCTTTTCATGATAGAGACACGCTGGCTCCTGGAAGTACCTCTATCTTCTCCAAAGATAATGGGCACAGAAGAACCTCCACCTGGAGCTTCCTTTAGATATGGCAAGGCTGGCCACTGGGTTAAAAAAAAAAAAAAACACTGTCCTTCACCTCACCTGCTGCCAAGACCCTGTCCAGACTGTGGACAAGCAGGACACTGGGGAAACTGATCCCCCTGCTTTGCCTAGACAAGGTGGGCTAGTCCCCCCAAGTTTCTGCTCCACAGGAAAGTCTGTTGCGTCTTCTGGGCCTGGAAGCCAAAGACGGATGCTGTCCCCGGATCTCTGCCCAACAACCACAGAGGAACCTGGGGTAGCAGTCTAGGCAGTCAGTAGGTTTGCTTTGCCATTTTAAAGCTCCTTCCCTCAAGGCTTCGGCCACCTTGTTAGCTCATCTGTCAGTTCATTAGTCAGTTAAAGCTACTAGGTTTCTTGTTTTATAAGGGACAGACAGGTTTGCCTTGTTCACAGGTTTCATGTTAAAGATAAACAGGTTTCAGGTGTTACTTTCTAAGAGAACGTGTTTTACAATGACTGTTCTCTAATAACTACTTATGTCTCTGGTAAATGATTCAAGTCCATACAGGGTCTCAGTTCTGATGTTCTAAAAAATGTTCACACTTTTTAACCCAAAGCCGTAGCCTCTGCTGTGACTCCAAGGTGTAAATCTGTCTCAGCTGTTTTACAGACACCAATTAACTGCTTTTTCTACAATATGGATTTCAATACAATGGTAATGCTAATATAGTAAAACTTACCTTTTTTGATAACTAAAATTCATGTAAGCTTCAAGGAATCAAAGTCATAAGGCGTGGATCCACCTGTCAGGTCAAACAAAAATGTTCCAAATGTAATGTTTTTTCTTTAAGTCCCTGAACTTTAACCTCTGTCCATAGTCTGTATGTCCGAAGATTTCCACTTGGCCGATGGACACACTGTCCAGGGAACACCTGCAAAGCATAAGCTGCTGAGCTTCGGACTTGCTGAGAGCCGATGTGAACCAGTCCAGCCCACGTGACGGCTCCCTGTCCCTTCACCTGGATCAGATAATCAGACGCTTCTGATAAATGCCTGGACTAGCCTTCCAGCTTTCCTGGACCCTGACAATTGACACCCCAGTTCAGTTGGAAGCAGCGACAGAAGAGAGTACATCAATCCTGCCCCCATAACAAGTTGAAAAAGGCTAAGTCAAAAGGAAACTCCCTGACACAGGGGTGCAAAATGGCTACCTATAATGCCAATTGATCATACGAATGGTGGGGCCTTTAGTTGCAATTCTATTAATCATGCTACATGCATCCTGCCTGTTGAACTCTATCTCCTGCTTCATTCAAAGGAGGATCAATGCAGTTAAGCTCCTAGTCCTGCGGGCCCAATACAGGACCTGAACCTTTGACATCAGTGATTTGATGACCTACTAGAAGATGCAGGAATGTTAGATCCTAGTTAGCAGCAGAAACTCCACCTTGTCCCAGTCTGCTGTTCTGCCCTGAACTGTTGTTACCCACCATTTCCTGAGGCTAGGCTGCAGCACCCCCAAACGCCTCTCACAGGTATAAATCATAAGTGTTCCACCCCCTTCCAATTGGTTGGCCCAGAGCTGTTTCAAACCGAACCACAGGACTCCCTGATAGGCTGAAAGCGTGTCACCATGAAAGGTCCCCAACTGCTTCTCCCCATATGTTATGATTAGATAGGACTAGGGAGCTATCTCTGTCTCTCTGGTGTTCCCCTTTAAAACTAGTTGTGCCCCTGCCTCAGGGACGCGGTCTGGAGTTCCAACCCTACCGCCTCCCGGATGTCAGTTTTTCTAAATAAATGTTTGGTTTGCTTGAACCCTGTCTTTGTGGTGGATTATTCCTGGATTCTGGGAACTGAACATAGCTAAACTTGGAGGGAGTCTTGAAAGAGGTGATTTTAACCACTAAATCAATATGGCTTCCTAAGAGGAGGAAGTGACACCAGGACACAGACGGAAGGAAAGCTGTGTGGTGACACAGAGAGTGGCTCTCTGCAAGCCGCAGAAGCCGGCGCTGAAACCTTGCTGTGGATCTCCACCCTGCAGGACTGGACGAAAAGAAATCACGGGTTACTGTGTGAGTGTCCACACCGTGAGATGTTTTACATGCCCCAGTAAACTAGTTCAACTCAAATGTCACCAAAGCCTTCAGTTTCCTTGCTAACTTTTCCTGCTGATTCAAATAACAATGATAGGAAGGAAGGAAGGAAGGAAGGAAGGAAGGAAGGAAGGAAGGAAGGAAGGAAGGAAGGAAGAAAGAATCTGCAATCTTATTGTGTGCTATGTGAAGAACAGGCTCTATCTACCAGGCTCTTCTCCATCCGTCATGCTGAGGAAAGTTTTGAGAACTCTTTAGGAATGCTTTTATGTCTCTTTAAATGGCTTGGCCTCTTTGAGCCCTTCAGCCAGATTTCTTGCTTTGGTCTGATACTTCTTTTGTATTTTCTACTTTCATCTTCTGTATCTAATAACGTCTTCACTCCCTAAGTATGGACAATGAACTCTCATCATGGGCATCGATACATCCTCCATATACCAGCTTAAAGCCTGCAGCATGATTAACAAAGGATTATTGAAGTACAGAAAAAAAGAGGAGGCAGCTGGATGCCAAGGAGAAAACTTTGAACTATTAATAGCTTCTAGACAGGATCTGCCCCGGAGGCCCTTTCTCGTGCTTCCCATGGGATTTTCCAAAGGCTCTTATTATCCCTCCATCTTGCAGTGAAAGACACTTCACTCTGTGCATAAGACTCCCCGCTTCTTCCTTAGCCAGAACTGGAGCCTCCAGCTTTACCTCAGTCCCAAGGAAATAGGCTTCTTTTACCCAGATAGGATTGGAATGTGGCTTGTTTTCTCCCATGGATGAAAGCTTATGGAGGGAAATTCTTCGCACTTCACCCACCCACAGGGTGTCCATGCGCCTACAGCATGGTGATTCCCAGCTGCTAAGGGCTCCATATTTCAAAGTTTGTTACACAGTTGTATAACTAATGGTAGTTGTAACACAAGACTACTCACTCAAAAAAATGCTATTCTCCTTTAATTATATTCATTAAAAGTTACTGTTTTAAAAATCACCAAATGTATTTTGCACATGAGCAATTTTATTTCTTGATTTAGCAGAAAGCAAAAGACTTGTACCTCAGGTTATTGCTTTCTCACAGATTTCCTTAATTACTGTTGGAAGTTGTGAAGTAATAAGAAAAAAAAAACTTTCCTCATGAAAGAAGACAGTTTAAGGACAAAGCGAGATGTCCATAAGAAGGGTGTGCATTTCTCTTATTCTCCATTTCTAGCTTGAATCTGCACGTAATGATAGGGAGGGCAACCACACAACAGGGCTCAATACCTCGAGACAACATCACATGCTCACAAGTTTGGGAGCCACTGAAATACAGGAGGAGAGAACTTCCTTTCTCCTTAAAAGCAAAGCAAGCAAACAAAGGAAAAACCCTAGGAGCCGAGCCTGAAAATCACAACTCTCAAATTCGCATCCTGGAAGAGTGTTGGAAAAGGGGACTCTTGGGGACCTGACCCAGAGCTACTTAGCAGCTAAGAGTTGATTGTAGTAGGTAAAGTGAGGGCTGAGAAGTACGGCAAAGGAGGCTTCAGGCAGACTGTTAAGAAGCCAGGAATGGTATGTCTATACAAGGCATTGAGTCCATGCAAAGAGAAGCTGCAGGGACCCCTGGGCCAGCCAGCTACAGAGCTTGCATCTTTCAGCTCTGCTGCTGTGGATGGAACACTTCAGTTGTATATGGATGATGTTTTGTCTACACGTATGTATGTCTACTTCATGGTATCTTCGGAGGCCAGAAGAACAGATTGGATCCTGTCTTAGTTAAGGTTTTCATTGCTGTGAATAGACACCATGGCCTCAGCAACTCTTGAAAAATAAAACATTTAATTGGGATCGCTTACTTATAGTTTCAGAGGTTTAGTCCATTATGATCATGGCAGGGAGCAAGGTGGCGTGCAGGCGGACATGGTACTGGAGGAGCTAAGAGTACTACATCTTGAGGGCAACAGGAAGTTGGAACTGTCACACTTAAGGAAGCTTGAGCAAAAGAGACCTCAAAGCCTTCCTCCACACTTCCTCCAACAAGGTCACACCTCCTAATAGTGCCACTCCCTTTGGGGGCCATTTTCTTTCAAACCACCACACATTCCCTGGAACTGGAATCATAGCTAGTTGTGAGATACCATTTGGGTGTTGAAAATTGAACCTGAGTCCTCTACAAGTGTAGCCAGTGTTCTTAACTTCTGAGCCATCTCAGACCCTCTAGATGGAACATCTGTTGATCTCTATCTGTATACTTTGCCTCAAATCCCAGATGAGTTTGAAACCAGAAACAGGTCACCCACATTATCTAGCTGATTCAGTCTTGTTATTCTCTAAATATTGGACCTTCAGTTTCCTTCTTGAGAACAAGGCTCTATTGCAACTGGAGATACTCAGGGGCATAGACAGAAGACTTTAAACAATATGCAGACACACTTTCAGCATCTCTGGAATGCAAAGCTTTGCTGTGTAGCTGCTATGGAAAGTACTCGCGTTTATCTGTACATGGGGGGCTCTGGAGGGTGCATTCAAAAGTCAAGTTTCTTAGTCAAAATGGATTGAATCCATCACATCCTGGTGAAAGCGCATTCTAATTCTATTTGGTTAACTGTTCCCAGATGAATGACTTCAGAAAGCTTTTGGTCTGTGAACACTATGAACATGCACATGCCAAGCATGTGCTCAGAGTGTGTATGGTCACGTGTGTATGCTGAGAATCTAGAAAAAACTCTTGTCATGCCAGCACCTGGGAGACTGAAGCAGGAAAATTACTGTGGAATTGAAACCATTTGGGGCCAGCCTAATCTACAGAGTAAAACAATATCTGAGAGATGGGGTATGGGGGAGAGACACATGAAATAAAGGAAATTCATTTTCGTGCAGTTCTCTCTCTTGGGTGGAATTTTACAGTATGAGTAAATTTTGTATTAGGGTACATGAATCGTTTTTCTTTCACTGAACATATGTGATTCACATTATAAAATGGTATTTCATTCCAAGAAGAAAAGAATATTAAAAAATGAGAATAAAATTATGTCCCAATGTGAAGCAAACAAATCTTGAAGGTGTCCTGAGCAGAAACTTTTCTGCACTGGCAAAGGCCTGATATCACTCCATTCTGCCCCTGGGTACCCACTGCACCTCATACCACTCTACCCTGCCCCTGGATACCCACTGCACCAAAATGATCCCAGTGCATTTATTTTGTATAATGTAATTCTTTGTGATCCTTTAAATAATACAGTTCATAAACATAATTTTTGATAAATTCTAAATGAAACAGTGCATAGATGATGACTTGCACAATATTAACATGCCACAAAAAACTACAGAATCACACCACACACACACACACACACACACACACACACACACACACACACACACACACACACTATTTTCTAAAAGTCCCCAGAAAGGTAAGGCACTCATTTCTGCCCTGTACCTCCCTCACTGTGATAATTTCTCTTTTCTTTGCCTTTTTTTGAGGGAGTTAAACCTAGAGCCTCATGCATGAAAGGTAAGTGCTCTACCACTGAGCTATAGTCCCAGCCCTGCAAATGTGAATTTCTGTTATTCATTTTTAGCACTGAAAATTGAAAGAAGGATTGGAGAGAGGACCCTGGTTCATTTCCCAGCACCATGTGATGGCTCACAGTCACCTGGAACTCCAGACCCAGGGCATCCTACACCCTCTTCTGGCCATCCTTGGAGAACCAGACACACAGGTGGAGCACAGACATACACGCAGATAAAACATCCATACATATAATTTTTTAATTAAAAAATTAAAAGCTTATGAATCACCTACCACTGTTTTTACACTGAGTGGCCCTTGGAGGGCAGAAGCTGTAGCACACATTTGCATAGGCACTCTGCAAATGTCATACCCATATATGTACTGCTGATGATAGTGGAATCGTTTTATATTCCTTTCCAATTAACTTAAAATGTCCTTGCTTGTTGCATACTAAATATATCTTCCAGAAACACTGTTGCCAGATAAAATGCAGGATGTCTGGTTAAATTTGAATTTCAAATAAATAGTGAATACTTTTTTAGAGTAAGTTTGCCTCATATAAACCAATTGTTGTTTATCTGAAATTTAAATTTAACCAGGCATTCTGTATTTTCATTTGTTAAACTTGGCAATCCTATGCAGAAAGGAGTTGATAAATTTTTCTGTTAAAATTGCACATTAACATCTCTTAGATGATGAATAATTAAAGCTTGCTGTGTGGGAAACTCCACGCCGGACCATTCCTAATGGGTTCCACAGTTGGCATTAACGATAACCCAAGCACATGTTTTAACCTTGTTAGCTTTTCATAAGATGAAGATAATATTTGATGTGCAAGTATCCTTTGAAGCTTACCTGAGATGACATGCCAGGAAATTCTTGGTACATTGCCTCAGAAGAGCTTTGGGGGAACCAGAGTCTTGCTGCCCGACTGGCCTGCACTCTAGCCTCCACACTGCGATTAGCTAGTTAGTCACCTGGCTTCCACATCTCCTTAAGATGGAGATGATAAAACACCCAACATGGGGCTTTCAAAGGGAGAAAATGCATACAATTCAAAGAAGGAAAATGCATACACCATACCCAATGTATTCTCAAACATTCCGTAAATGTTAGCCTTCATTTTTCTTTT